GTTTTCCTTCATTTTAAATTTAACTTCGGTGAAAGGCTATAAAAACAATCGGTTCGTGATTACAAACAATCGACTACTACAAGAGAATAGCAACGTTTTCCTTTCAACAAATGCACCCGTTACAAATGAAAAAGATTTTCTTTGAATGACTTACAATAGTTATGCTAATCTGCATAAAACACACGCACTTTGGTCACGCCGTAAACGAATGTTTTTTTCCCCAAAAATCTCTGCATGAACAAATATGGAAAAGAGCATAAGTTAGGCATACTTGTAGAGAAATGAAAATTTCAATACGATGTAATAAAAAATTGATTTTTAGTTTTACATTGTTACAATGGGGAATGGAAATTAAAAGGAAATATATAATTTTTATTTGTTACAACGCAGTTAAAAACCAGAATTATAAATTCCGAAAAAAAAAAAAACTTTTTGATGAAGAGAAATTGCGCAATGTGGGCAATTGGATGTTTCTGTGTATTGAGCTGCTAACTACTAGAAATTTCTGGAAATTATAAAGTACATATCTCGAAACAATAATAAGGAATTGTTTGAATGTAACATGTCTGTGCCATAAATAAATAGATTAACTTATATAGAGTCATTACAACTAAGGAGGAGGATCTCACACATTTATATTTGAGAGTAATATTTAGGTAACAAATATTTTTCTACGAGTATTATCAGGCGCTTTATCAGTACTTGGGAGGTTGACTATCTGAAAGCACCACGTGCCACTAGCATGTTGTTTTGAATTTTTTTTTTATTAATTGTTGTACAAAAAATATATTTATCTTCCATATTGTGAACTTTTAGTTGCACGTTCTCTATTATTGAATAGTTAGCTATAAGTTAAATATTTATTTAGAAGAATTTTATATTTGTTGAAATAAAAGCTTATTGAAGTAGTTATTTAGGCTTATTTTTTAATCCTTTTTAAAATGGCTGTAGAAATTTTAAACAATAAACGGCACTTTGGACCCGCCTACTGTCATATCAATCAAGTTCTCGCAATTTGTGAAGAAAAGAAGCTAATATCCCTAACCATGTGAATTAAGTGAGATTTAATCGGATACCGGTAAAAGACGTCATGCTTGTATCTCGAACCTATTTGACTTCGTGAGTTGACAAACGTCACTAACAGGTACACCTTTTTTTTTATATATTTTACAAAACTCAACTATTGGTTCAAAATGTGTGTGAGGAAGTAAGTACATCACATAAAGAAGCATCCAGATAAGTTTCTTAATCTTATCTCACGGCAGAGATGGAAATTATTATAATGGTTCTGCTGCCTATACTATGCTGAAATGTCCCGAACTCCAACTTATGGTGGTTTGTGTGCTTCAATGTCTGCCGGATAAATTTTAAATTAAAATTCAATACATTGTAGGAATAGTTGTTACAGACAATGTCAACCTTCATCTATGAAAAGGTATCCCAATATAGAATCGAGTTAACAAGTCTTACATACTAGTGAATTGGAATTGTATTTTTGTAGTGGTAGACACAATACAGTAGTCTCACTCCAGAATTTTATCTGTGATAGAACTCGATGAACGGATACCTCTAGTTGAATCATTTCTGTTTCTGCGAGAATCCGAGAGAGCTGTATTAAGATCACCGCACTTTTGCTGATCGTGAGAGCTGCATTAAGTTCAGAATCGTGAATGCTACTGTGTTGGCATTAGCAGTCGAGTGTATGCAGGCCGACGTTGTGTGTGTTCGAGACTAAGTATCAACAGCGCGAGGAGATTAATAATGCCGCTGTCACAAGTAGGAAGTCAAATGTTCAATGTGGACAATCCATCGAAGTAGGCGTGTTTAAATCGAAGTGGGCGTTGCTGTTAAGATAGGCGCGTAGAAACGTTAGTTTCTCTCTTGATTTTCATATAGATTAAAATCTTTCAACTTGAAACACTATTCGAAGAGGGAGTTTCTGTCAAGGTAGGCATGCTCACATCACGTCCGAATATCATCAGTGTGGGGATAGTTGTTATAGACAATGTCAACCTTCATTTATGAAAAGGTACCCCAACATAGAATCGAGTTAACAAGTCTTATATACTAATTAATTGGAATTGTATTTTTGTAGTGGTAGATACACTACAACATGAATAACTTCGACAATATTGTTAACGTCATTTGAAAATGGTTAAAAATGAAATCAAAGTACTTCCTCCCTTAAAGAAGTCGAACTAACTTTACTGTCAGAGTACTGAATATTGGCGATCGAAATGGGCTGCAGGTGGCGTAGAGCAGAACTCTTTTCCTATGGCAACACTTCACATGCTTTCCCCATTAGCGTGTGGAAAGTCATAGAGGAAGGAAGTACGTTAGTTTCTCTCTTGATTTTCATATAGATTAAAATCTTTCAACTTGAAACACTATATGAAACTGAAAACTGCATTAAACATAGTTCTAAAGAAAAGTATCATGGAAATTTTAAAAAATATTTTGATACATTCGAATATTCTGAAAAGAGGAGGAGAGGGAAGGGAGAAGGGCTAAAGGCATGAAACCGGTCTCTCCCCAGATGGCGTATTCGAGTGTTGCGATCGCGAATGAAGCCATCACTTGAAAAGTTGAAGCTGTATTATACCTAGGCACTCGATCGCGAAATCCGAGAATTTCCCCCGCAAAGATTAAGCTCAGTGTTTAACTAAGTAATGAAAAGTAAACAATGAACTGGAAACAATACTAAGGAATAGTTTGATAGTAACATGTCTGTGCCGTAAATAAATAGATTATCTTATATAGAGTCATTACAATTGACGAGGAGGGGCTCGCACATTTATTTAGGTTTAATATTTAGATAGCAAATATTTTTCTTTCAGCATCATCATTCGCGCTTAGTACTTGGGAGGTCGACTATACCTGGGAAAACCTTTAACACATTATTTTTATTATTTTTTATTAATTGCTATACAAAAAATATATTTATCTTCCATATTGTGTACTTCTAATTGCACAGGCGGATACACCTTTTTCGATTGATAGCATATACACCGAAGAGCCATTACATTATGACCACCCCGCTAATAACATGTAGGACCACCTTTTGCCCTCAAAACTGCTAGCATCTAAGCCGTGGCATTGATTCCACAAGGTGCTGATAGGTAGTCTGAGGTATCTCGTACCAAGCTCTCACCAACTGGTCCTGCAATTTCCTCACATTGCAATGGGGTAGCGTGGCAGCACGAATTTGGTTTTCCAAGTAGGACCACAAATGCTCTATTGGATAAAGGTCAGGTGAATTTGGGGGCCAAGACATGACCTGAAAATCACTGGAATGTTTCTCGACGATTCGACCCTTATGACATGGTGCATTATCCTGTTGGTGAACACCATCCCCCGCAGGGAAAACTGTTGCCATGAATGGGTGAACCTGGTCTGTAACTATGTTCAAGTAGCTTACAGGTGTCAGGGATTGTTCTAGGAGGATTATGGCTCCTAATGTGCCCCATGAAAACATTGTTCCTGGGTGAGAAACCATGAAAACATTGTTCCTGGGTGAGAAACCATGAAAACCTGGGCTAGCCCATTATTATAGATGGAGGGTGGTCATAATGTAATGGCTCTTCGGTGTATATATTATACGATACTGAAGTTCTGGTTCAAGATGTGCGGGAAGAAGTAATACAGCGTTTAATGAAGTATTGGTATAAGTTTTTCTATCTGATCACACGACAGAGACGGAAATTATTTTAATGGCTCTGCTGCCTGCAAAGCTGAAATATCCTGAATTCAAAATTACATCATTTCTGTGATTCAATAGCTGCCGGAACGATTTTAAATTAAAATTCAATGCATTAAAAACTTTGACAATATCGCAAACATCATTTTAAAATGGTTAAAGCTTAAATCAAAGTAAAAGCTGAGTGTAGCAACTAGACAGTGAAAAAATTTCGTTAATATATTGTCTAAAACTGATTAAACTTGGGTTGAAAAATTAGAATTTTTAAATAAAGTTGAGCAGTGCAATCGGCTTGATTACCATTACAGTTTATAGGTAATACAAAATAATTTTGAAAGTTGACCAAGTTGGTATAAAGGCGGCTATTAATGATGTATGTCCCGCATATGGGTAAAACTTCTTCTCATTTAATTTATTTTAGTGTGTCTCGCATATTGTATTTCTAAGTTTTTTTTTTTTTTAAACAGTTGATAATTTTTCAAATCATGGCAACCATTCATTTCATCACGCATATAATATTACTAAAATGTTCTTAGATAAAATTATAATGACTAACACATTTAACTACAAAATGTTTTAATTTATTGGAGAAAATATTGACTTTTACTAGAAAAACACTGATGAAGGAGACGGAATCACAAAGGTTTTTGAGCGGAGCCTTCTAGCTATGGAAGAAAACTACTGATTTTCTGAGTCTATTTATTATTATTATTACTATTTTTAAACAGTTGATGATTTTTCAAATCATTTCAACCGTTCATTTCATCACGCATATAATATTACTAAAATGTTCTTAGATAAAATTATAATGACTGCCAAATTTAATTACAAAATGTTTTAATTTATTGGAGAAAATATCGACTTTTACTAGAAAAACACTGATGAAGGAGACGGAATCACAAAGGTTCTTGAGCGGAGCCTTCTAGCTATGGAAGAAAACTACTAATTTTCTGAGTCTTTTAATTTTTTTTTTAAACAGTTGATGATTTTTCTAATCATGGCAACCGTTTATTTCATCATGCATATAATATTAGTAAAATGTTCTTAGATAACTTTATAATGACTACCTAATTTAATTACAAAATATTTTAATTTATTGGAAAAAATATCGAGTCTTACTAAAAAAACACTGATGAAGGAAAAGGAATCACAAAGGTTTTTGAACGGAGCCTTCTAGTTATGGAAGAAAACTACTAATTTTCAGAGTCTACAACAATATTCTAAATTCATGTCCTCTGCCGACTGTAAAAAAGCACAATCAAAACCCTATAGATATTTCAAACAATTATCTTTAATAGCATCTGCGAAAATTTATTTTTCAAACATTTTATTCTTTTCTTTTCTTGAAATCTTCAAATATATCTTCTAATTTCTCTCAATTTTCAACCCAAATCACTGAAAGATAGAAGAAAGCTTCATAAAATTAAAGTTAGTAAATTAATAAAGCAAAGTTCAGCAGAAAATCTTATTTAATTTTCAATTTTATTAAGAAAAAGCAGGGAGTTTTATAATGTAATTTAAAAAATTTTCCTCAATTTAGTTAGAGATTTAAGTAGGAAAAGTACTTTTAGGACCTTTTTGGTTCGCAACTCCGCCAGCAATAAATAATGCATTTTTTTGTTTGTTAATAAACTTTAGACACATTAAAGCTAAAAGAAATTTTTTTTCGAAATATTGGTAAAATGATTAGTTAAACGAACTGAAATTTAAAAAAAAATTTATAGCGAATCTTTAAGCTCGCAAGTAAGTTAACCTTTAAACATCAGTAGGGTTACGGCAGCATGTTTATCTTATCTTCTAATGGTTTTCCAAAATACACTTTTTTCTATTTTGCTGAAGTTAGCTTTTTACACACTCAGAGACCTATAGATATGAGAATAAAAATGTAAAAATATTATTGAATAATTTTTATTTCCAAAATTTACTAAAATTGAAATTGGCTAAAAATAGCTTATGATAAAGTTTAAAACCACAACAACGAAAAAAGATTTCCCATAATAGTATATGCACAATTACTCTACTGTACCAACAGGTAGGATGTGCATAAAAAAATTATTTTCCCCTAGCGTCTGCAACGAGACAATTGTAAATGAAAAAAAAGTTCAGATATTTAAGTTTCTAAAATTTAACATCGAGCAATTATGAGTGAGGTTAAATTTAATAATTGTGAATAAATACTGTTCACATTTTCCTTCGTTTTCAAATGCTATATAAATATTTCTACTGCTTCTTTAATAAATAAAAAAAAAACAGAAAAGGGAATGGGGCAAATAGAAAAGCAGACATGAGGTTCTAAAAATAATAATAAAATCAACGTCCGTTAACTCACAGCAACGAGTCATTAGTGAAGAAAATAATTTTAAATATTTAAAAATATTTAAATTCGTGAAATTTATTATCGAGAGATTGAGATTGAATTAAACGATTAATGAACACTGTTGAAATTTTTCTCCGTTTTCAATTATATAAATATTTTTACTGTTTCCTTAACAGAAAAAAAATGGAAAAGTGAATTAAACAAATAAAAAAAAGCGGAAATGATAATGAAAAAATGTGTCCGGTCACCACCATCTTCTCAAAAGCATAAGCATATTAATTATGCTTATTCAACTTTAAACTTATATTTTAAAAGGCCATTTCTATGTTGATAATGCGAGTAACTCTGCATTTTTTACGCACAAAAGCATTTCATTTTATTTTATAACCATCGTTGAAAAGCCGATCCAATTTTGAGTTTACGACTACCAATGTTCAACTCCGAACTCAAGGGAACTCCTTGATCAAGTACTGAGAGAAATTTGCCTTCGTGGAGAACTTTTTGATGGAACTAACCTGCATTTGCGTTACATAGAGAATAAAACAGTGAAAACCTACCACGGTTAGCCTTACAGCAAAGGGACTCTAACCATGATTCGTCTACCACTGAGGATATTTTAAGTCAGCACTGCGATCAGTGGGGCGGGTGTGGATTTCGTATTTACCAGCCATTGCTGGGATTCGGATCTGAGTCACCTCAATGAGAGGCGAACGCTCTGTCACCTGAGCCAACACTGAGTTATTAAGGGTTAAGTTAAACCCTCGTTAGGAAACGAGCGCTCTATTTCCTCAGCCACCTCTCCGCAATAAAATATTTCATTTTATAGCCATCGCTAAAAAAACAAACCCAAATTTGAGTTCACGGCTGCCAATGTTAAACTGCGCAGCCTTGTAATTTTTCAATCCAATCCCGATGACAAGGAAAGTTCTGGATCAGTACCCCCAGAGGTATTTATTTGTTATGGGAACTTAAAGGACTTTGATCCTGTGCGCCATTCAACATTTATTTCACTAGGATACTTCAACCAGCTGGATTCTAACTACAGCTCTCACGAACACAAGTCCAGGGCTCTACCAACCAGGCTACCCTGGCCCGCACAAATGTATTTTGTTTTATTTTATTTTATTTTATAACAGTCGTTGAAAAGCCGACCCAATTTCGACGGCATGGAGACTAACCCGTGATCCGTCTACCACTGATGATATTTTACGTCAGCACTCTAGCCAGTACGAACCGGGTGCGGAATTCTCATCGACCAGCCATCGCCGGGATACGAACCCGGTTCACCTCATTAAAAGGCGAACACTCTATCCTCCGAGCCACCTCTGAGTGCCACAAAAGTATTGAAGAATTTGTGTAAGGAAACAGCATACCAGAAGACAAAGGAAAGCCTTTCTATTCTTTGCTACATCGGAACACTTTTAAATTCGCCAACACTACAAAAAGTGATTTTCATTAATATTTATAATTTTTGTTTAAATGATTTTAAGATTCAATCCCAATTTTAGCCCATTTTTTGTTACCCACTAACTCCAATCATAAATGTAGTTAGATAATCTAGTTGCTTATCTTTTTGCAATTATTCATTCAGTAAAAGAGCGATAAGAATTTTTAATGTTTTAAACATTCATTCTAAATATTATTCAAGCAAGAATAAACTTTAAGATTTTTTTTACTTGTTTTACGTACCTTTTGCAGTACGTGGGAAACATCATACAAAAGCTAGTAAATACAGAAAAGCAAACCTGAAAATAAAAAATCGAAATTTATCGCACAAGCATTGAACAGTAAACACTGCAGGGTGCTCTGTAGAGACCACTCTTAATATATATTTCAAAAATCCTTTTAAAAAAATGAACACAAAAAATTATGCACAACTGAGTTTTCAAAGTAATATTTAGTCAAGGAGAAAACAAACTCGATATCGCAGTACAGGAAGGCGCATGTAAGAAACAATAAAACAGGTTTGATTCGCAGAGATTTCAGAGGAGTGTTAAAAGACGCCAATTATAAGTGCCTTTAAGTTTCAATCTCCAATTAAACCTTTTTTTTTTAATATTTATTGCATTCGCCTTTCGCTACTGTTATTTTTCCCATTCTAATAACATTTTTTCCTCACATAATTAACAATTTACTACCTTAATGAGTATTTTTTTTGCTCCATTTTTAAGGTGGAGTCTTAAAATACACATTAAGGGTGGCTTTTATGAAATACCCTGCAATTTTACTGCAAAATTGACGCTTTTTAAAAATATTAAATTCATAAAAACTGGCTTGCCCGAGCTGATGCTATTCAATCAATATAATATTAACGAAATAATTCTGCAACATTTCAAAATTATTAAATTTTTTTTTTTAAAAAAAAATCAATATTACAACTTTAAATGTTACTGATTCGTGTTTGATTGAAAGTAGCAGGGCGTTTTTGCCAATGTTTTTCGTATGCGAAAATCTGTTTGTACTGTTTCTTAATCAACTAGAGGTTCATTGTAAGTCCACTACGAACAGTGGCGTAGCGAGGGGTGGGCAAGAGGGGGGGGGTCATCATGCCCCTGGCGCTACTCACAAAGGGGCGCCAAATGGTCCACAAAACAAAAAATTGTTGGATAATTTTTATTATAATTGGTTTCTAGAAAATACATTTTAAATTTAGTGCCAGTGTCATATAATAAATGTTAATTCGTAAATAAAAAGGAACACTAATAGTCTAAATCAAACTGTAATAATATATTTATAATAGAAATGGCACGGCTTTTCTACTGGCAGGGCTGACTCGATCTGTGTCTGTCAGCACCTCCTTATGGCATCTACGCTGTGTGGTTACATAAATTATCTCCTTTCTTGATTTGTCTGATAAAATAATATGTTACAATAAATATTTGCAGTGTACAAAGTACAAACATTCTTTTTTTTTTTTCAGAACACTATTTTTTTTAAATTTTTATAAACGCAATGTAGCTTGTAATTTTAAAACAGTAACAATAACACTCTAATGTACTTACATGTACAGACACTGTCAACTAATCTTCTAATGCCAAAATCTTGGCTTTTTCGATGGGACGGTAATGAAGAAGAAGGAACTAAAGTTAACCGATCCTGGTTATTATATTCACCAAAAAATAATGCTGCGTACTGCTTTTGTTGCTTAATGTTTATTACATCAAATTCCGCTACACAATCATCTTTCGTAACATCTGCTGGTTTTAATAAATGGAAGAAAAAAGATGAATTGATTAGCCACGAAAGAAGTCTAAATCACTGAATATCACTTTCGGCTTGGAAAGAAACAGAACGAAGATTAATAAGTAGAACGGGAAATGATGTATCATTAGAAGCGAACATTCAGTCCGTAAAAGAACGGTGGCGAAATATATTTAAAAGAATATTAGCTTGCTTGAGGTATTTAATTATACAAAATCTTTCTCTACGTGGCCATGTTGAAAAACTAGCACTTCAATATGGTACAAATGTAGGAAATCTATTATCTTTATTTAGATTTGTAGCTCAGTTTGATCCGCTACTAGCAAATCATCTTAAACATGCCACAGAAACTACAAAAACTGTCTCATATTTGTCACCGCAGATTCAAAATGAATTCATTCATCTTCTGGCATCTACAATTCGAAATCAACTAATAAACGATATCAAAATAAATAAATATTATGGGCTTTTGTTTGATTTAACTCCTGATATTTCTCATCGAGAACAAATGTCCCAAGTCGTTAGGTATGTAGATGATGATTTTATCCATAAAAAAGTTTCCATCAAAGAATCTTTTTTGGGTATTATTGAAATACACGATAAAGATACAGCCTCGATCGAAAATACAATTTCAGAAAAATTAAATTCCGGTGAAATTTCATTAACAAACTGCAGATAACAATGCTACGATAATGCTACCGAGATGGCAGATCACACATCTGGCGTTCAACAAAGAATTATGGAAGAAAAATCATGGAGCATTATTTGTAAATTGTGATAACCATTCATTGAATTCAGTAGGAGTTACTGCAGCTAAACAAGATCCAATCGTTGTGACATGTTTTGGAATAATTGAAAACATATATCTATTTTTCTCACGTTTAACGTTACGATGGACCTCCAGAATACAAGCGGTTAGCGTTATCGTCGATGGGCTAGAGAATATAGTAGAACTATTAGAAAAATTAGCAGAGGACACTACCACTAAAGTGACACCAGAAGTGAAGTTACGATTCTGTTGCAAAATATACTAACTTTTAGTTTCATAACTTAAGTTCATTTCTGGTGTGAAATCTTAAGGAGGATTGATCGTGCGCAGCTCAGATTACAAGATCCTAGAATGAATTTTAGAGAAGCGTTCCATGATCTTGAATCATTAACTACTGAACTAGCCGAAATTCAAGACTTGCTCTATGAAGAGGCAATAGAAAAAGCGAAACCTCTTTGTGAAAAATGGGATATTGATACAACAATACGTGTAAGAAAACAGCTGCAAAATGCCCGGAGAATTGGCTAGAGATGTTGGTATTTCTGCAGAAAGTGAAATTTCTCGCGTTATGGAAAGCGTTCTTGATCGTCTCCAACAAGAAATATGTACACGATTAAGTGACCTTAATTTCAAAATTGCATTTCTACTAGACGTTGAAAATTTATTAAACAAGGATAATGTTGATAACGACCTTGAAAAAAATTTTAAAAATTTGGGTGAATTTTATGATACAGATTTCAATGGAATAGAGCTCGTTATCGAAATATGTGACTGCAAAATGTTACTCCGCAGTAGGAAAAAATTGAACCTAAAACTCCATTAGAATTTCTTACTTTTATAATCTCGTATGGAGAAGACGTTTTTCTAAACCTGAGAGTGCAACTTGAAATACTCCTGACTATCTCAGTATCAATTGTTAGCTGCGAACGTCCATTCAGCAAATTAAAATTAATTTTGACATACCTACGATCAACGATGGGACGAGATCACCTAAGTGACCTAGCATTTTTAAGTATGGAAAGAGAAAAATTTGAAATTATCAGCTTTGATGATATTATTGATACATTTGCTTCATCAAAAACAAGGAAAATTTATAAATAGTAATTAGTTTTATTAATGTATTATAATCATTTGAATACATGTATCTCCTTAGAGATAATAAATATTTACTTTTTTATTGTTTTAAAACTGTGTGTTTTTAAAATATATCTTTATAAATATAAAAAATAAATAATAGGTATCTTTTGAACTAATTCCAGATAACCATATACATTTCAAAATCTAGTCTTGTTTTTTCAACTACATTTTTTGTCTCAAATTTAAAGCCTAGCTTGAGCCTATGACTTTATTTATTTATTCATTAATTTACGAGTATATTTTACATATTATATTGTATGGTTTTCGAATGGGGGGGGGGCGCCAAAAAGGTATTGTGCCCCGGGCGGGAGTTAAGCTCGCTACGCCACTGACTACGAAATCAAAAAGCAAAATTAACATATTAACTGCTGATCTAAATGACAACAAAAATACCAATTTTTCCCTTACCGCTATATGCTGCTTTTATCGTAATATTAAAGGCAATTGCGAGTTTATCTTTATTAAAAATTTTGACTACTTTTTAAAGAAACAAGGATGTTACAATGCTATGTGGGGCGGTAAATGACAATAAAAATGACAATTTAATACATTGGGGATTTAATGGGGATCACTCAAAACTTCGACTGTCGTCCGACTAACTAGTGTACTTAAATTTCAACAAGAGCCATAAGTCTTTTGCTGATGCTAGCTGCATTTGTTTCCCAAACGGTATTAACAAGAATTTTGCCCAATTTAAACTTCAATCACTTTTTGATTTAAAGTAACAAGCATAAGATTGAAAACAGAAAATAATTCCTAAGTTTTTTTTTTCAAGTAGACCGAAAAATTGAGTTTTTGTTAATTCCAAAACGTAGTGAGAATTAATTTTGACTTCAAATTAACTTCAAACACAATCAAAAGTTCCTTACGTCTTTCTTTCACAATTAATGCGCCCTATGCATCTCATTTTAAATTTGTCAATAATAGAATTAAATTATATTCTTTAATTTGTTTGAATTTTCTTAAATTTTTATTTTATTAATTTATTTATTTGTTTCAGTCAATGTTGCACATCATGCATGCTGAAAATGCATTGAATTGACTCGGATATGTTTTTGGAAACCAAAAGAAATTTCAACTTACCTTAAACTCTTCCAATTTCTTATTGTCAGCAATTTTTATTGGATCAGTTGAATTTGAAAGATCGTTCTGTAAGTAAAATTTGGGTAAAAGAAAAAAATTATTTGCAAGATTAGACAGCTAAAGATTAGACTTTATATTTTAATAACAATTACTTACATTGTATTCAACGAAGGAAGCGAAACTTTTCGTCAAGTAACTTTTCTGCAGCACATTTAAAGTAGCGCATAGAGAAAATAAAATTATGAATATGAAATTATTAATTAAAATTACATAATTTAGAAAGTAAAGTGCTTATATATATATATATATATATATAGATTTGAGTGACATTTAATTTAAAGACCAGAGCACTTATCAGCAATTGATTGGTATTTCATAGTATCTTCTGTAAAAGAGAAGAAAATCTTGTTTTTTAAACTTCCGATAAACTACTAGAATCGATTATTCAAATTAGTCCAATTTGGGATAGTCATTTATTGTACTGGATTTTTGGTTGTCACCATTTAAGTGTCATTTTTTTTCAAGATATTTCATTTACACTGACCCAATATTATGTTTACCTTATCTTTCAGTCAAGACGAAATAAATTTTAATTAGGCGGCTTGTTAACCTTTTGCTTACGGCTGGTACAATTGATGGTCTAGAATAGCAGGTGCTATCAGGTGTTGTAAGTAAGAGGTTAAAATCCTTCTATTGTTTTCAACTTAGATGCACGGTTTAGTTTTTTGTTGTAGTTTCCTTACATTTTGTATTTAAGAAATTTTATGACAGATGATCATTCTATAGTAAAACATTTTTCAAAAGAGATGGTAAATAAAAGCATTTTATATTGGATACAAATGCACATGATACTTCAAAACTTTCAGATATTTTTTTATGAATTGAAAGCAATAAAACATGTAAGTTATAATTTTAGATAGGTACTTTTATACTAATTGAGTACCTAATTCTAGATTTTTTAGTTTAAAATGATAAAAGCTGCTTTCAATTTGCAAGCTATGAAAAAAAAATTCTTTTAATCTAAAAACATGCAGATATGTAACATTAAATAAACTGTATGAAATAGTTGATCTCAGAATTCTATATCGTAATTTTATGGGAAAAACTGGAAGAAACCTTAAAGTAATGTCCTGTTATATCCCCTATTTTTTAGGGTGACATTTTATCTTATGTGTTTGTAGGATAACGTTGAGAAACAACTAAGTCATATGTTTATATATTTGTGTAGATAGAGATGCTTATTTAATATTTCCTCTCAGCCAACATCCCTAGAACAACTAGGAAGATAGTACAATTATCATTTTATTCTGTGCCATTAATATTTATGAGAATGGAGATATACTTTAGGAGAGAAGAAAAAGAATTCTCAGCACAAATGTTAGGAAATTAATAAAATATATGCTTAAGGGCAATAACCAGTTGGAAAGGGGAAGAGAGATCACATTGGTGAGGAGAGGGAGAGCCAATATTGTAGCCTAATGCACCTTTCAGACGTAAAGAGCATCAAAGCAAGGCAAAACTGTTTAATGGCACAAAAGCTGGATATAGCTACATTGTACAAAACTCAAAATCATATTGTAACAAAAACATTGGTGTAGTTTAAAAGCAAATTCAACGTCATACCAATTAAAGCCAAGAGACAGGAAAAATAATTTACAATACCAGTCTAACTGTTGAAAAGTTCAAATAGAATATACTACCTCNATAAAAAAAAGAGCCATCTTTATATATATATATATATATATATATAATATGTTAATTTGATTTTAAAAAGTCGCCAATTTCCGCGTTTAAAGAATTCTTCTTTTTGACATAGCCATTAGAAAATTATTCCTTATCATATGTCAGAGTGTTTCCCAAACTTATAACTTTTGCGTACCCTTTCTAAATTTTTCGTAACGCTGTGCACTACAAAATAAAAAATGAATGTATTTTTTACTATAAAAAAATTGAACAAAAGTTAAAAATCAGAACTGGCTGGTGACACCACTAATTATTAACTGTTAACTCTGCAAAAAATAGCCAATAGAAAAATAAGTAATCGTAAATTTTCATGACTAGCCTTGTGATAAAACTACAGCTACTGAAGTTTATGTTATGGTAGATGTTGATCTAAAGTTATCCACCATGATATCCGAATTTTTTTTCATATTTCTGCATGAGATCAAAATTAAATCATTGTTCTAGTAAAAGTGCAAAATATTTTTTTCATATTATTGAAAAAGAAGATAATTAAATTTAAGATAGTAAACATTAACAACATTGCTTGAGTGCAGATGCAGACATTCTGATTTGCATATAATTATAAGAACAAATATTGAGGTTGCAGCACAAAAGAATCTCGGGGTGGAATGATTTAAGGCCCCAACGGAGTGTAACAGATTATCTATCTTTCATGAATATCAGTAGAGTGTAAGACGAAGAAACTCTCTTTTTTAAATTTTTTTTTCGTAATTCAAAATGTTAAATGACACAGTGGTTAGATATTTACCAAAAAAAAATTTACTCAAATTTAAGAAAACGAAGATTCACCACATTGGCCTCAAGTTCAATTTTTTTTTACTTCAATTTTAATTTTTTTCTGAAATTACAAATATAAACTAAATTTAAAATTTCAAATTAAAACATTTAAATGTTTGTTAAGAATGCGAAAAAAATTATACATGAAGAAAATTCAATCTTTAGTTTTCCAGAAAAAATTTAAACAACTCGAAATATTCATGCAAAATTGATTGCTGATTAAAAATTTAAAATTTACGTATTTTATAATATAAATTCCTTGACAGTGAAAGTTTTTCTTGAGGATTTTTGGAGATCTAAATATTAACATTACATTATATTTTTTTCCAGTAGCTTTGAATTCTAAATTCTACATTTTTGAAATTATTATCTAAAATTTATTTTATACTTATATTTTTTTACAAAACATTAAATTTGTGCTTTTGATCCAAAAAAAGCACTTTAGTCCCTTTCCAGGTTGCCATTTTAGTTTAATATAACATCAGTGACAACTTTTTATTGATCTGAAAATTTTATTTAAATTTTTAATTTTAAAAATTCATCATTCACTCTTTTTAAAAGGTATTGCGCAAAAAAACGAGAACACCCTAAACAATTTTCGGTCTAATGATTGAATTTTCATGTACTGCTTAATCTCATGTCATATAGCATGTCATTTTCTCAATATATTTAAGGAATGACCTCGAATACGATACTTAATTAAGACAGACGATATTTTAAGTCACGAATTCAGAGCGAACTTTCGTGGTATAAATTCAGTTTTCCCATCGAATTTGGATTCCTTACCCTCAAAATATAGGAAGGCGCAATCTGGGAAATATATGGTCCCAATAATTTGATTAGGATATCAGTCCAATGTTTGAACCCCTTAATGTTAATGTTACTTTTTGCGCATTTTGCATTACCGTGAAAATTGTAAAAACGAATCGAAAGTTTTTTGCATACGATAATAAAAATTCGTTTAAGGACGTTTCCATTGAAAGATTAAACTTTAATCATTATTCTATGTTTCTATATTATTTAATTATAGTCGAAAAATTTTGAATTGTAATTTACAAAAATCTTTAGACCATTTTAAAGAATGAAATTTTAAAAGGCAAAATGTTAAAGTTAAACAAATTTAATTTCTCAGGAATCACTTTTAAATGCACAACTGTCTCATATTCGATTTTTTGGCAACTATTTGACCAATTTTGTTCAAACTATTCGTATTTTTCTACATAAAATCAAATTCTTTAAAATGCTGTAAAAATTTGATTGCCTTAGAATTCGAAAATTTTTCATTAAAAAAATAATTAATAATTTTAAAAAAATTTCAAGTTGTGATTTTGGATGAATGAATTTTATAATTGTGTGTAAGAATTTATCGATTGATTTAAAATATTCTCGAGATATACACAAAAAGCGTTTTTAAGACGTATTTATTAAGAGTATTAAGAGGTCCAAACTTTCCACCACTCTCTATATTTTTCTGATAGCAGTCACTTCATATTCTTTGAGGGTACGGAATCCAAATTCGTCGAAAAAAGAATTTGTGTATGCAGAGGAAAAAAATTGGATCTGATTTCGAAACTTAAAATATTATCTGCACTTAGTAATTAGCGTCTCTGAAATAACCCATTTGAGATAGAAATCACCCTTAATACATACAAATCCGATCATTAGATCAAAAATCATTCGAGCTTTTTTTCAGAACTGTAAGGGTCACCTCTTTTGCAATAACATTGTTTTTTCGTAGTTTGAGGAAGATTTTTCGTGACTTATTTCAAATTCGTGACTCATTTCGTGATTTGTTCACTGTTATTTCAAATTAAGAGCGTAATCATTCATTTTTTCAATGCCAAAGTTATTAAATAATTGGTTAACCCGCAATGGTAATACCGTGGGTAAAATCCAGTTGTCATCAAAATTTGCTAATATTCGTATGAAGTTTTATATATATTAAGTTAACATAACATACCATTAGCTAACATAACATTAAGTTAATAAGTTAAATATATGCATTTATATATTGGCAGATCTCAAAAACCTCTAACTTTTGATAATAAAAAAATAATAATAATAGGCACACTATTGTTACACCTCCAGAATTGTTAGAAAATGCATAAAATATCAGAAAATAATCGTTAACATCAAAAATTTTGATGCCCTTATAAGTATAAACAAAAAATTAAACTTTTTGAACTAATTTTGCTAGGTTTATATACATTTCATTAAAAAATCATAAAAATGACAAAATTATCATTTATTTAATAAACATATAAACTTATTGAGCCTATTTTTCTTTTATTGAGCAATTTTTTCTTTTTAATAATTTCATCCATATTTACCCTTTATTTTTCATCAAAAATTACTAGTATCATAAATGAATTGAAAAATTTTAATATTAAGTTAAATTGTCATAAAATGGATAAAAAGGCTTACTTTAATTATTTTCAGTCAAAAAATATCTTCAATTAGTAAAACATAGGGAGAAAACTAAGTTCTGATATGTTAAATTCAATTAATTAATCCTGATTTTACGGTTTGACAGGGTTAAGGTCTGGACCACCTAGAGAATGGATCGAAAACTTTACTCAGATGCAACGCAATGCGATGCACACATCACAGAAAATAAATTAGGCAATGACAAACGTGTGATCAAAATTTTGATTGATTTTTAAACATTTACTTGATTCTACACGCGTCTGATTACGGTCTTGACATCGTAACTGTAACCTCACCGAATGGCAGTTTGTGATTATAAACCTAGAAAAATTAGTTCAAAAATTTTAATTTTTTGTTTATACTTATAAAGGCATCAAAATTTTCGATGTTCACGAATATTCTCTGATATTTTATACATTTTCAAACAATATTGGAGATGTAAAAATAGTGTGCCTATTATTTTTTATTATTAAAAGTTAAAGGCCTTATAGATCCGCCCATATTTATATATTTAAGGTATTAACTTATAGACATTGTAATAAATAGCTTGAAACTTCCTTACGAATTTCTCTCTTTCCGAACACATAAAAGGCAAAAGGCATTCATTTAGATTTCCCTCTTCACAGTCTGGCCATTCTGGTTCTTCGCCATCGGATTCACATTGTGCATTCACCTTATCTCTAAGAAAGTTAATAGCCTGAAATATAGTTAAAAACTCATTAAATAACTCAAAATTGTTTCGTACCAATTACAAAGTTTCAGCGAATAACTTAAATAAACGGTGATCTATCAAACATGCGTTTTTAGAATCATCAAAATTGAAAACATGGACCACAAATTAATATTTTACCGGGAAAAAAAACTTTCAAAAGTTGACCAATTGCAGTAGTGGAAGGCGAATGGAATAGACATCAAAACACATTTAATTTAAGGTCGAAACTTGAAAGCGTTTCTAATAATCATTTTTCACCTTTTCTTTTATTCCTCCTGCAGTCAAACCTGACTTGCTGCTGCTCCTGCTTTTTGCTTTCCTGTATTGTGATTTGTCCCATTTTGAAAGTGCTTTTGTTTTTTCTGGGTTAAATATTAATGTTCAAGCACAAATAAGCTCATTTTCATTTTTTTTAAAGAATTTTAAGAATGTACATTAAAGATGGTCATTACAAATCCTGCATGTAGTATGTTTGTGTTATACAGGGTAACGAAAACTATGGAGACGAGCCAGTCAAGTATTTCAAGAAAAATGCATTGAATCAAAATTCTGAAATCACGAGTATAAAACATTTTAAAATATGCATTCAGTGGCCTACACATCACTTCTTTAATTGGTGCAAGTTCAGGAATAAATGTCCTATTTGGTATAATTTGTTTTCAAAATATTAAGCACGACTGTTTCTTCTTTTCCCATTTGACTTTTCGAGCTCTCCAGATATCTTTATTTTAAACGATTTTCGCCTGGTTGGTAGGGTGTTGAACCCATGTTACAGAGAAAGGAAATTCAAATCTCGATGGCCGAAGAATCCTCGCGTATTGGTGACTGGTGCACGTTAAATTTGTTGGGGTCGAAATTCCCCCAAACTCCCATAACAAATCAATACCTGTGAAGGGTACTAAATTGGATATTGATCGTTCTCTAGTTCAGAGCAAAAATTACGGTCTGTTGATGAATGAATGGAGTATGTTTGGTCCCTCCTTGTAAAACGGGCTGCGGCGTATATGTGGCTAAATTCGTATTCTTGGCCATAGAAGGCGCCACTGAAGAAACAGGAAACGAAACCTCTGCCTTGAAAATTCTCTTGATTTCAAGCAGGCTTGCTCATATTGGCAAGTGGCATATGTAGAAACAAAAAATTTTTACTTTACTTTTACGATTACAGCAAAATTTTGAAATAAAAATCCTTCAAGTCAGAAAGGGCAATTTTTTCTGGAAATTCTAAATCAGAAACAAAAAATGGGGGTTCTCAGTCTAAATTTTAAAGTTGTACTAAGAGATGAGTTTTGGGCAGGAAGAAAATAATTAATATGCATCTTTACAAAATACTTCATACCTGCATTTTTAGCTGTTTAATTCAATGCATATTCCTGTGCTTTATTATTCACTAGCTGTACCCTGCGTGCGTTGCAACGCTTTCAATTTGAATTTTGTATTTAAGTGTGTAAATGACATTTGCGATTATCATTTGAAATGCAAATTTTATTTAATGGTGAAAAAAAAACAGTGATAGTCTCAGCAGTTAATTCTCTAGGATATCATTAGTGCATTTTCAAACAGACATGTATGGTGATGCACACGGAGCATGAAACATATTTTGGACAATGATCTGAAATAAGACTGGATCTATGGTGACATCAAGAATTTCTGCTGATATCTGATCAGTTTTAGAAGGTGGTTTTTTTTCAATAAGCCAAATTAGAATGTGTGCCTGAGGCAATCCTCGTTTTTGCCATTCAATAGAGTACACCCAACACCGTGTCTCTCTAAAAACATGACGCTTCACAATGAAATCAAGTAAAGATATTGTTATTAAAAAAGACACACGTGCTGTAATATCATGACG